GGTGGGAACGCTCTCGTGGATTGGAGTTTGCCAAGGTTCCCCACACACACCCTCTCCTATTGAGAACAATGAGGCAGTGGAGCCTTTGAGTACGAACACAAGGGAGCTGTTGACTTATTGCTGTAGAGTAACTTTCAGCAGAATGGACTGCCCCTCAAAAGTCTGTGTACACCTTTGCCCTCTTTTAAAATGTTCAGAGTGGTGTTTGTCTTTCACTGTTACTTTACAATTGCATGAGATAATGTAACAACACTAACACTTTGGTCATATTTTATGACATTCATGTTCATCAGAGTGTCATCCTTAATATGAAGAGCAGGTTAAATGGTCTTAAATCTGAAAAAATAAGTTTTTATTTGGGGCTTGCATGTACCTCTCCACTATGTATGGATTAAAAATACATTTTGGGCTAAAATCTGATCTCAAAACTGCCAGAAAACAATGCATCAGACATCAGGCAGTGTGTTAGTAATCATTTTATGTTTCTGTGAGGGAGTTTTTGGAGCTTCAGATGTCTGGTTCCTATCACCACCACTGTGAACAATTCTGACTCCGTTTCTCTAGAACGAAGCATTTCACACCAAACCACTCTGAATGACTTTGCTTACACTGTATTCTCAGCTAGCTCAGAGATCCTCCCTCAGTAGAGCCTGTACGCAGCCAACATTCACAATGACTACACAACCTACATATTATTTTATAGTAACGAATAACTTATAGTAGTTGGCCACTAAATAATAACTCTTAAGACTCACATGTTAAGTTGTTGAAAACAAATTAAACTTGCTCATTTACTAAAACCATTTTGAATGATTTGTTAGCCCCCTTGCACCTTGTTCTTCAATGGTCAAGACCCCCACAGGACCTCCACAGAGCAGGTATTATTTGGATGGTGGATGATTTAAAACACTGTGTCCTCTAACTGTCCACTCTATTAGACACTCCTACCTTGTCAGTCCACCTTGTAGATGTAAAGTCAGAGACGATAGCTCATCTGTTGCTGCACAGTTTGTGTTGGTCATCCTCTAGTCCTTCATCAGTGGTCACAGGACGCTGTTGCCTGGATATTTTTGGTTGGTGGACTATTCTCAGTCCAGCAGTGACACTGAGGTGCTTAAAAACTCCAGCAGCACTGTTGTGTCTGATCCACTCAGACCAGCGCAACACACACTACCACACCACCCCATGTCAGTGTTACTGCAGTGCTGAGAATGATCCACTACCCAAATAGTACCTGCTCTTTGGGGGTCCTGACCACTGATGAACAGGGTAAAAGGGTCCTAACAGTATGCAGGGAAACAGAAGGACTACAGTCTGTAATTGCAGAACTACTGCTGCTATATGGTAAGTGGAGCGGATAAAATGGACAGTTGGATGAGTAGAAACAAAGAGGTTTTTAATGTTATGCCTGATTGGTGTATAGTGCAGTATTTGGGTGAAGAAGTCACATTTTCATACCTCTTCTCGCGCACTGTATAGGGAGTAGGGAGCCATTTGAGATTCAGCATAGGTGTCCTGTGTACATTTGATGGACAGTGGAGAATGAGAGCAAAGCTGAAGCCGCACGTGACTTTCCCCGACATGCAGCCTATGAGCTAATGTGTAATTAGACGTTACTATTTTCTCTTTTCGCTCTGCCTCTCGGAGGGGCACAAAGCGGCCGTTTGAACGTCCCCTGTGCCAGGAAACTCCAGGCCTGTCAGTACGGCTTTGGGTTATTACACTTAACTTTAAATAACTTAATGTTTGTGCTGGCTGTGGAAACTGAGGAGGAGCGGCTCTCTGATACAGCTCTGAGAGACTCGTTCAGCTGTAAACATGACTCCACAAGTAATTCAGCCTCTTTCTCAAGACTTTCAACATACAGTTTGAAAAGATGGTTTAGAGCAGTTTAGTGTGAAATGCATCCTTCTAGAGAAACTTAACGAGTCAGAATTGTTTATAGTGGTGGTAACAGGAACCAGATGTCCACCTCTAAAAGCTCCCTCACAGAATGTTATTATATAAAATAGTTAGATATGCGTCCTGAAATCTGACACATTGTTTTATGATAGTTTTGTGATCATGTTTTGGCTTAAAACGTATTTGAACATATTGATTTTAATCCATTCATGGCGGAGGGGTACATGCAGAGCAATGTAAGGCAAAATAGTCCCCAAAGAAAACTTATTTTCAGATTTATGATTATTTTACCATTATAAACATTACATATAAAAACTCAAAAGGCACATGTAGGTTCACTGGTGGTTGTGGATAGTAAATAAAATGGCTATATTTGTATTGTAGACATTGTGACCCCTGGTTCCTATCACCACCACTGTAAAAAAATCAGAGTCTGTAAGTTTCTCTCCAATGAACCATCTCACATCAAACCACTCTGAATGACTGTTTACATCTCAGGGGCTGAATTATTCAGAAATTTTGAAAAAACTGGTGGAATTCCCCTTTAGGCCTCTAAAAAGTCTGCTTTGGTAATTTAAAGCAGAGTAACGGCTTTTCTCCTCAGGGTGGGAATTTTGAGGAACTTTTTTACCCTCCTCCCCCTTTTCCATAAGCCTCCACATTCACAGGCGCAAAGAAACGACTGGCACAAGATCAAAGTGGAGCACGTGTCTGCTTCACTTCCTCTCCCTTCATCCCTCCATCCTTCTGGGTGTTTATAGTACAGAGAGAGAGAGAGGGAAGGCTGGCCACGGAGAAGCATACGTGCTGTTCGGATAGAGTCCGTTCTCAGTCATCGTTGCGAGGAAACGGCATGCCAGCTTGGCATCCCTCACCAGCGCCTGGCACAGGTGGGTATGAAATAAATAAAGCGCGATAGTGAGAAATCTCAGACAGCGGAGCAGAAGGAACACAGCAGCCACGATGGTAGTGTGCTGAGAGTGGCGAGAATCTCAATTCACAGTCAGGAGAACTGAATGAACACTGTCTATCTGGAGGAGCACCTTTGTTCCCAGCTTTGGCTCTTTATATAGAACATCAAATATCAATATGATACATTAAAGGGGAATGCCACCCATTTTTTTACAAATTTTGCATACTTTTGTTGTTGTGATGTAAACAGAGTCATTCAGAGTAGTTTGGTGTGAAATCATTCACTGTAGAGAAACATACAGACTCTGATTTCTTTACAGTGGTGGTGATAGGAACCAGGGGTCACAATGTCTACAACACAAATACAGCTATTTTATTTACTATCCAAAACCACCAGTGAACCTACACGTCTTCTATGTTTTTATATGAATTGTTGATGATGATAAAATAGTGGAAATTCTGAACAAGTACGTTTTCATTGGGGACTATTTTGCCTTACAACGGCCTGCATGTACCTCTCTGCCATTAATGAATTAAAATACATTGATTAACAAGACATTTCAGGCCAAAACTTTATCATAAAAAACTACTGTAAAATAATGTCAGGCATCGAACACCATATTGATAACCATTTTGTGTAGTAACTTTGTGAGGGAGCTTTCAGAAGCATTAAATTCCTCATATGTCTCATTATGTATAAAATTTGAAAAGCTGGTGTAGTTCTCCTTAGAGATCTATGGACGGGTTCCTGTGTTCATGGCTAGAATCCTGGAGTCATCAGAGGACATACAAGAGACAAGTAATTCTAACTGCCCCCAGCTAGGCTAGCCTCAGTGGGCTAATTAGCTAGCTAAGCAGACTTTGTAATGCAAACCATTTTTGTAGAAGTCAGAGCATAGCATACATAAACAGGACCTGTGGAACAGGGGTCCTAGAAATGTCAGTGAGCAAATGAAGGGCCCTGGGAACACGAAGATGCTCCCATCTAGCTAAAATGCGTCAGTGTTGCTGAACTTTACAATGGGCGCAGTAAGTTAATAGAATTACTACAAACAGCCATTTTCAAACCTTTTATTATGTTGTGAAATACTCAGCTCAGGGGTGTCCGGTCTTATCTGGAGTGGTGGTAGGTTTTCATTCCAACAAAGCAGGAGCACAGATGATTGATTGTCTGAAGACAGACCAACTGATTGAACAATTGGAATCAGGTGAGCTTCTTGTTTGGAACGCAAACCTGCAGCCACACCAGCCCTTTGTGGATAATTGGATACCCCTGACCCAAAGCGGGGGGCCCAATCCTGGTCCTGGAAATCTACTACCCTGCAGAGTTGAGCTCCAACCCTAATTTAACTCCTTTAAATCCCAGGCTTATTACATACTAAGGCTTATTATTCAGTAACTACAGGGACTCTATTCTTAGGTTATAGAAGCGTATAACAAAACTTTGAGCCTTCTGGTGGGCTCTAGCCATTTAAGAAGTTAACGCACCTGATCCAGAAGGCCTTAAGAGGCCTCTGAATATTAGTGTCAGGTGTGTTGGATCTGAACTCTCCATGGTGGTAGATCTCCAGGACCAGGATTGAACACCATTGGCCTAAAATAATTATTTTAGCCCTTTTTATGGCCCAGAGGTGGTTTAAACTGAGCTAAAAGCTGAGTGCTGTTGAATTCTGACATTACAACAAGGGGATAAAATGTACAGGAACTGGCATCCCATTGTAGTGTTTTTTGTCAGATGGTCCTTCTGTTTTATTATTTTTTCCACTGAAGGATCTAAAAGAGCTTTCTATTCACTATGTTGTTTTCGCAAACTGACTAAGAAATCATGCCTCATTAAAAGCGTTTTTGAAAAGATAAGTGTCAAACTTTTGACTGGCAGTGTAGGAAGGACAGGGGGTGGGTGGTGGAAGTGGGGGGCAACAAAGTCTTCAAATGATTCAGAATGCCTTTGTAGCTGTTGTATTGCCCACTGCAGTTGGTACAAACTCTGTTGTCAGCACTGCCAAAGCCAAGTGGGAAGTGATGTATGTGAACAGTAAATATTTGTGGCAGACAGGCATATAAACAGTCGAGCAGAGAACTGCCACGTGACAGAAACTCGCACAGCGCTAACCAGACCAAAGGTCTCACTGTGTTTCGGCCCCCAGGTGTAACGTAAGCCAGCATAACACGCAAGAGGACAGAAGCCAAGACGACTACTATGGACATTTTATTTCAAGGGGAAAAATGACAAGCAATCATCAATCAACATATAAAAACATTTGCACCATCGTGTGTGTCGAGCCTAGGCGATGGCTTAAAATAAATACTTCTCAAGAGCATATAGTACAGACAGAATATGCAAAAAATCCAAAACAGACCAACGAAACAACGGAGCAAACTCCAGAGGGACTGAAACGAGAAAATGTCCCAGTACAGCTCCCTACTTGTCACCCCAAAAAGTGTTGTATAAAACATTTTGAAGAACATTTGTAAAATACAGAATCTTGAAAAAGAAAATCCCACATTTTCTTAAAGTTATTGAGAAAATATTAGCTGGTATTATAGCGCGATTAAATCAGGACTTTTCATGAAGAGTAAGACGATGAGAATGTGCTTCCGCATGTCTATTAGTAATCACACGTGTAGTTATCCACAAAGTCCTCCGCAGGTCGGTCGCGAGAATTGGCAGCCATATTGCACAAAGCTTGTCTTCCTCAGGTACACGGAAGAACTCTCCTCAGACTCAGCCACTGAAACACTCTTCCACCTGAGGCAACAACACACCCCCTCCTTCTCGCTCTCAGCTGAGAATGACCGGCAGAGTAGGACGAAGAGAATACAAACTAAAAAGTCTGGAGGTCCCATTCGTTGACACCTGCAGATTAGGACACATCTGCACCCACTTCAGCTCATGTTTCGTTCCCATGCAAAAGAATCTTGGTTTCATGGGATGGTTGCTAAAATGCCCTCAATGGACAGAGGTTTCAAGAGAACAGGTTACAATACGTGTTCGTGAGCATACAAACCAGGTATCTGATCTTAGGAACAATTACTAGGGATGTCTCGATCAAGTTTTTCACCCCGATTCCCACATTTCATATTAGTATCTGCAGATACAGAATCCTCTTGTATTCTTGTATATAACACAGCCACACAGTGCACACTTCAAATAGACTTGCGTTATCATTAGTCAAAACCAATTCATATTTCAGATAAGACATGCTGGGCTACTGGTTACTTGAAAATGCTGCAGGAAAATCAGTTCACTGGTAGTATTTGCATAGTATAACACTCTGAACTGACAGTGTAAATGTTTTTTGACTACTTTTTTTAAACAACCACTTTGTGGCATCATTATCTAAAATGAGTGAAGCATACTCATTTCTCTTGGCTTAGAACATGTAACTAGTATCGCTAAGTATAGCTGCACACTCAAAGTTTATGTGAATCTAGTTTAAAACGCTGACATTGCCGAATTTACAAGTGGCTTTTGGACTGTTTTCATTTTCTATTTTAGAATAGATGCAGATGAACTGTTAGTTTTTGAAAACATGCCTCATTGCCACAAATTGAGTGCGTTTACATGCACTTAATAATCCGATAACAGCAGAAAATCAGATTTTGTCAGTAATCCAGTAAATGCGTTTACATGCACTTGAGCAATCAGATAATGGCGAGACTCCAGGTCTACATGAGTCAGGCAGTATTCAAATTTCTGCTTTCCAATGAGCCAATAAACTCACAGAAGAAGATACGGCATAAACATAATGTAAAACTCATGCCGCAGCTTTTTTTTTTAAAACATTGCGCCACTTTACCTGAAACTATGAACATACATCATCTAGAAGAAGAAGAATATTGAAATCCTTCATTTCGTCAAGCATAAAGTTGGTTTCAGCTTTGCTCCAAAAGTGTTTTGCTGCGTCTTGCAGCAATGCTGCTTGCTTATTTCCGGTACCTGTCTGTTTCTCACATGCGCAAACTGAGAAATCCAAAAGAAATCAGAGTAAGAGTTTACATCTGATTACTGAGCTAAAATCCAGCTCTCTTTATCGGATTTCCAGACCTTACACCGATCTAAGAAATCGGAGTATGCTGTTAACATGACCAATTAAATAATTAGATAACTGCAGAAATCAGATTATGATCGGATTATTGAGTGCATGTAAACACACTAATTGTGTCACCTCTACAACAATATATAAATATAGCATGATGGGGTGAAATGGTCTTATGCAAGGATCAGGATATCAGTTCATTAAAACATTCCTTGATCGGGACATCCCCAACAATTACCACAGCAACACCTACTGAGTGCATGTAAACAAGTTCTTACATTACGTCTTTCTCTTCACGCTCGGGGACATGAGTTGACTTGCAGCGCACTGAGCCCTAGTCTCCACCGTTCTGAAGAGCCTGAGACTACACATTAGCACATTGGCCCCGTCCTGCTCAAGAATGCAACGAAGAGATCTCTCCCGAGCATGCTTTTGACAAGGTGTTGTGAAAACCAGCCTAAGTGAGCTTTGCGTCCTTTGACGCCCTATTAAACTAAAAGCCGAGACTGAAAGGGCCTTGGGTGACAGAAGGTGACTGAGTGAGACATTTTACTTCACAGCTGCTATTAGTTTACTTAAAACTAGTTAAATAGGAAAACTGGATCCCACTGACCCCGTCGCTGAGTTTCTGCTTGAGGACCACTGCCGGGGGAGAGTGCGTGTAAACAAAAGGCAAACGGGTTTGAGTGTGTACGCTGAATTCCTAAGACAGACCACACAAGTTTTGTCTGCCGGTGTGTATCTAGAGCGCTGCTGCCTTGTTTCCAAACACAGTTCAAACATTCTCAACGTGCAAAGGCTACGAATAACCTTTCGCACCCCCCTTAAACTGTTCTGTTTAGTTCGCATCTGTCACAGAGTTTTCATAAATCACATTTATTTCAGAACAACTTTAAATTAAAATAAAACTTTCTAGGCACTATTGAATGTCCGAAGGCTTTTGTTGCAAACTGAGAAAGTTGTGAAAATGTGAATCTGAAATGAGCGCGTGCAATGGTTTCACAGACCAGAACACTTTCCTACGTGCTGACGTTTCGACGTGGGCCACCTCCACCTGACAGGCAACCTCCGAGTCCTTTGCTTGAATTTTCAGAATGGAAAACAAGCATCGAAATGAGAAGAGTCTTCCCATGAAGTCAACTGCGTAACCTTCCAACAGCGCTTTCTGCTGTCTCTTCAGGCCATGATCTTCTGAGGGATCTCTATGGAAGCCTTGAGGAAGATGGCGTTGTCGCGGATGTAGTTCCTCGTTCGGATCTCCTCGTGCGAGATGAATTTGGGATAACCGAAGCCCAGCGTGCTCTCGTCCAGCGAGTTGCGGCTGCTGCTGGGCTTCTGGAAGTTCTTCCAGTTGGGGTCAGGGTTGAACGTCTCGGTGATGTGCTGCGGCTTGGACAGCGACGGGTCGCTCTGGTCCAGGATGGAGAAGGTCACCTTGTAGGCGAAGGGCCACTCCAGCAGGTTGTCGTACTCGCCGGGCAGCACTCGGATGTAGATGGACAGGTGTGAGCCCTCGCCGCTGCCGTTGCCGTTGAGGAAAGCGGATACCTGCAGCTTGTAGCCGTAGCGGTGCGTGTAGAAGGGTGGGCTGAACAACTCGTGGTTGTTGTGCAGCTTGGCCTCCTGCAGCTTGCGCGAGTAGTCGCTTAGCTTCCATATGAGCACGCCGTCGTGGCTCACCGACAGCTCCTCCATCTCCCGCCGCAGCTCCATGATCTCCTGCCGCTGACGGCCCACCAGGTTGCACATCATCGTCAGGTGAGATTTGGTGGTCTCTTCTAGGTGACGACCGATTGCCAGCTTTGGACACTGCAAACCAAACATACAGATGTAATTAAGCCTATAAATTAAAAACAAAGTTTGTTTTTACCCAATTTATGCAAATGTACCCAAATTAGTCGATCAGGCAAGACGTGTTTGGTGCAAAGAAAAGTTTTCTTATCTAATTTTGCACTGAGGCTACAAAGCTAATGTAGCTAAATAAAGGACAACAAAAGCATGGATAATATTCAGGGTTCAAGATAGCTGTTATTATTTTTTTTACAGCAGTAGATTTTTATAGATAACAGGAAAATAACTGAAGTCATTGAAATCCCAATGACTTCAGTTTTTACACGCTACGGTTTATTACTTGGTAAATACATAGAAAATAATGTAAACTAGTCGATTTATTCTTAAGTATGTAACAGAAGCCATTTAAGGGGTTTTAAGTTCTAAAACAAACACTGGAGCACGTTCTCTATAATGCTGTTCCAACGTCCGAGGCTGAATATTGCATGCACGGTCTGGGCCTCTACTGGAAACTGTCCATATAAATTTGAGTACTGTGTATATACTTTTCTGACTTCACTACACTGTTAGGGGAGGCGGCAGACTACATCCATGTGCTTAGACCATCTGTATTCCCCAACCCCCCAGTCCGAAAACATGAGTGGAGCTTACAACATGAAACCCCATCTGCCTCCACGGCCAGAGCCTCTAAATGCTTTTCTTTTTTTTTTTAAATCAAATTTACATCCAGTTCAAAAATAGACCAAAATACACTGTCAGACTGAAAATGTGTGATTCTCATTAAAACAGCTCCTGGGGGCACGGAGCTGAAACTCGAAGACAGCTATTGTTTGGGCAATGCTTTTTTCCGTAGGCTTTCATCGTCCATGTGAAATCACAAACCTTTCATTGTAGATGCGCAAACGAAAACAACAAATGACAAATTACAACAAACAGAACCTGACATGTACATTCCCACAAAGGAGAGGATGTAAACTTGCTCAGTGGAGCGGACTGAGTGCGCCAGGAAGGGAAGGAAGACTCACTCTGTGTTTGCAGCCGGCGTCCTTAAAGGGGCACAGCACCAACGCACTGCCGCAGCTTTCCTTCACGTGGGTGGCTAAGTCTTCTCGGGCGATGTTGGGGGTGCCACACTGGTTAGGGCACTGAACAGGGAAGCGAGGGCAGTGGTACTGATGATTCTACACAAGGAAAAAGAACAGCATGTGACTTTTATGACAGCTTTCTGTTTCTTATAATCTCTATCTGTGCATGTTTATCTTATGGTCAATTACCACAGACAATAATTTCTCTGTACTTAGAAAAGAGCAGAAAACTCATTGATTCAAAATCCACTTATAATAGAAGCCACTGGGTAGTTACTCAAAGAGTACAGAGAAACATGATGCACTAAAATTTGCATAAAAATGCCATTTAAATGTGTGCTCTGTAGAGACTATGTTAACTTATTTTTTACTAACAAAATCAACAAAACATGTTAAATAACCACAGTATTCAAATCCTGCAAATGATAGTATGTGATGTGACAATATTTTCGTAAACCTTAAATGTAAAACTTAAAATAGAGACTGAAAAGCGCTTTAAATGGAAGGATATGGAAGTAGAACATGCATGCATTCATGAAATGTTGATGAAGCCATTTATATTCTGGAGCGTGACTTGCTGAGCTGGTGATATGGAAAACTTCACATTAACGAATACATATCATCAGACTGGATGCATGAATTAGAATAAATGTTAGTAATACGAAAATCTGCTTTAATCACTGATTGTAATGAGTGCACCACCAGGCACCGCTTTGTGAGAGAAATTTGTGTTGGTTGGAACTCCTGAATGCAGACTGGCACCGCATGATGATGAAAACTGTGTGGATGCAGGTGTGTGGAGAAAGGCTGGGCCGGCTGAAGCTCCAGCATGAATGCCACCGTTTATGTAGTCACAGGCCCTCTGCCATCCAACTCTAAAGAGCCTTCATTGCCATTAATACACCACTGAGACGCCACTGTTCCATTAGCACCCTGTTTCAAACACACCACTCCTCTTTCTAACACTACACCACTTTACCACCTTCAACAGCCCAGAAATTTCCAGGCAGACTCTTCAAGCAAATATAATTTTACTAAGCCAACCACTCCTTTAGTTCATGAGCCTCTAATGAACTCTTTCTGCAGGAAAGCAAACCTTAAATATGGCAATGTGCACACTGCAGCGTTCAAGTGACACAGATTCTTATCTTTTTAAATCAGATTCGATCCACTAGATCAGAACATATCAATAGCCTTTCTTGCTCTAAATCATGAGCAACTTATCAACCTGTGGAGCCAACAACCTTTGCATTTATACTTATCGTTGCTGGAAATGTAGTGATGGAAATATATCTGAGATATCTTTTTTGTTGTTGTTCATGGATCAGGGCAGATGTGTGTTCACACTAATAAAAGATATGGGACCTTTACAAACAAATATGAACCATCAAGGCTGAAGGATCAACCAAGAAAATGAAATTAAACAGCAAGCTTTGTTTAGACAGGCAGTTCAAATCCAATGTTTTGGTGTATCCAAAACCATGAAGGGCAAAAAGCCACATAAACTATATACATATATACATTTACATATATATATATACTTTATTTACATCTGATTTAGTTATATACAAATTGTGAAAAATCTGTGGAATTCCCCTTTAAAGACCCATTCAAATATTATCTCTGGACATGTGACTTCTTGACGTGAGTACAATAAAATCATACTTTTGCCTGCCCCACCTTCCTCAGTGTACGCACGCTTGGATTGTTAGAAGGACAACCTGTGTGGATATGCAAGCAAATGCCACTACAGCCTGATCATACAAATCAGATTTGGTCATTTGTAACTTGCAATGTGGACAGAAATAAAAGTCTATTTGTCATGTAAGGTGAAAGAAAAAAGTAAAGAAAAGCAATTCAAGCTCCTCTTCCAGTCACACACTCTTTTTTATGACAGAATACCCAGAAGGCAGAGCACAGCTGTCCTTATGAGGGCTGTTGACTGATATACAGCCTGCTGTCTGATTGGCAAGCAGGTTGGAGCAGTTTGCATTAGCGTGAGACAAACCTGGATGGTGTCGTAGACGAACTCCTTGCCGCAGTACTTGCAGGGCTGCGTGCGTTTCGGACACTCGGCCATGGTGTGCTGGGCCAGGAGCCTCCTCATCATCCTCGCCCCGCACTTGTTCTCACAGTACACACTCTCCTGAGGACAAATGCCCTGGTGATTCTGAGGGAGAGACAAACAGAAGAAACAAGAAAAGAAAAACATGAAATGTTTGCCACTTGAGCTTGTTTTTATTGAAGGCTTTTTTTAGATATTAAACCAACCAAAATTCAAAAGGCTCATTCCACCGCATATGCAAACAATTTGGGACAATTTCCTGGTCTTCTCTTAAAACTGAGAAAAGATTCTAATAAAAAGACACAATAAACAAGAATCCATCTCTTTTATAGATCACAGAGCTTGTTTTCAGCATATGAAAACAGGCGTGGTGGCTTATTAAGCAGTAACAGTAAGCCTTGTGATGTTAACCCTTGAGTGCTCTCTGAGAAAAGAACCCATACTTGAATAAAACTTGTCATCGATTTCATTTTGTTTCAGTTTTTGCTCCTGGATTTGACCTTCCAGGGCAAAGAAGACATTTTTGAGGGTGTAGGTCCTTTGTTTGGGAATAGAGTCTAGATTCTAAAGTAAATATAGAAATAATACTGCATATATCTCCTTTATTATCTTTCTATAGCCTAAAATGGATCAGTTTTCAGCGTTTTTTTTTTTTTTAATAAAAATTTTCACCCTTGCCAAGCTGATCTTGCAATGTTTTGTCCCATTTTTAAAACTGGAGCAACATTTACTTTGCTTTCTCTAAGGTTTTCCAGCCATACATGATCAGGCAGGAGCTTGTGAGGACTCCACCCGTACCACAATGCTGGTAACGGATTACCACAAATTGATCCCTTTTGGAAAACTAGTTCTGTCTATGAGAGAACTAATTATGGAGCTTACTGTTTAATACAAAACCTTTGACTAAACAATTTATGAAGGTGTTCTACAAATAAATGTAGTTTGCACAAATGTTTACTGATGGAATTTGGCTTCTTTTATTAGTGTATTTTGAGTGGTTTTCCTGGTCTTTCCTAAGTACAAGGAAATGTTTTGAAACTGTCTGTGATCATAATCAACGATTACAACACTAGAGGTCTAGATTAAGCTGTTTTAAAGGGGATTTTCACCCCAGGCGATCATTAATTTCTGGCATAGCTGTTTATAAGTACTTAGCAAGTACTTGGCAGAGGTGGATAGTAACTAGTAACATTTACTCAAGTACATGTAGTATTCAAGTGGATGTAGTATTTATATTCAAATTATAATCATTTTACTTTTACTCTTTTTCTATTTTTAAAGTAAATGAACCTACTTTTTACTCAGTTACATGTTAGCCATTTAGTTACTAATTCCTTTCTTGTTTTTAATTTCATTTTGTTTTGTTGAAACATCTGTACTGCTTTGTACACCTTTAGCATTGTATTTTAGACCAAAAGAACCCAAAAAAGAGAAGAATAGAGCCTAACAATCTTTACTTCCTATGCTGATTGATGCTGGATTTACTAAGAATATCCACTGCAGTTCTTTAAGTTATTCAATGCTTAAGTAGCTTTATGACCTGATAGTTTTGCACTTCTACTCAAGTTGTGTTTTGGGGAGGTTCTTTTACTTGAGTCATTATTTTACCTAAGTATTATTACTTTAGTAAACTTGAGGGTTTAGGCCACGCTACCCACCTCTGTTAGCAAGCAAAACTGCATTTGCCTTCGTCCAGCAGAAAAGAACCACCATCGCACACTTCCCACATGCCAAAACAATAACATTCACTCATTCCTCGAGTTAACCTGAGATGGGTCAGTTAAAGACATGACCGGCGGAGTTCGTACCTCGAAGGCCTCCCCCGTGAACTCGCTGCCGCAGAACTCGCACTTGACCTTACGCTTGGGGCAGTCGTGCTGCAGGTGCTCGGGCAGGTCGCGGCGTGTCAGCTTGACGGCACAGCGGTTGGGGCAGGGGATCACGTTGAAGGCGCAGGTGGAGAAATGACCCTGAGGGAGCGGAACATAGAGCAAGTGTCAGCAAGCATGATGCACGCATTCTTCAGGCCCAACATGCACGCACAGTCACACTCACTCTGAGTACCGTGCCACTACACTACACTATAGCATTAAAGATAGAGACACAGGTAGAGGTCGAGGTAAAAATAGGAGCACATTCAGAAAGGAGAAACAACCACAGAAGAAGAGGTTCATATTAAGATAGAAACCCAGTCTACACTGACAGAAATACACTGCCGTTCAAAGGTGGAATCAGTGTTTTCCTTATTACAGCAGTTTTGTTGCGGATACATGTACAAAATATAATGCTAGTTCCAGTAATTTGTAAAAAAAAAAAAATGCTCTAGATGATTCCATAATAAAAAAACTGTATGACAACTATTATACATGCTTAAACAGTCATGAAACATCCCTATGGCTACATATTCGCAAATGATTGTATATTCCAAACATGTTCAATGTGTTTAGTATATGGTCTGTCACATCAGAGGGAGGAGTACAGAGTGATGATGAGAAGCAAACTGACCTGCAGCTGCTTCATCTGACCGGTCCAGCGGCAGCCCTCCTCACTGTGGATGCAACGGATGGGCAGAGCCAGGATCTGCTGCTCTAGCTCTGGATCAGGATAGATCTGCAGCGCACAAAAACACACCATAGCATTAGTACATCCATACACGCACACAAATACTGTGTCTGTTTTTTCTATGCTTCTTGTAAAGGGCAGCTGGCATTTTTAAACGGTATATGATGGTATATGAGGCAAGTTTTGACATGACAGGGATGATATATGGTTGCAGCTTTATACAGTATTATCAAATCCATGGAAATGATGGTGGGTGTGTCTGTCAATGATAGAGTGAATGTGTATATGCGTGTGTATGTGTGTGTGTGTGTGTGTGCTCGTACTACACACAGCGGCTACTGTATTTTCCTCTCATCTATAAAGATGAAGGAGGATGAGGCAGTGCTCTATCCAATCAGCCCAAATCCTCTCCCCCAGCACCGAGAGGCAGGATTTATACACACACACACACACACACAAAGATCTTCTGTGTGCAAATCACACTCAGGGCAGTACTGCAGGCATGTCTGTCCATCATCCACTGAGTCAAGAGAGGCTGAAATTATTCCTCACTAGATCTGAAATTCAGCTAATCATGGAACGCTCTTTACACTGAAGACACTGTTTACACTGGAAATGCTATTTACACTGGAGACATCTGAACCCGTTCCAGCCATTAAGAACTGAAGTTTTGGTTTAGGTCCTTTTCCGAAAAATGGACCTGCCTGATAGTGGTTGTGATTGGTGTTCCACAAAGAGCGCTTGAGTTTCTTTAAGGGAAAAAAGTAAGAATTTAAAGTACCGTCACTGTATGTTGATTTTGTTCCACACCACGTTCTGCTCTCTTGACACTGACAGCGGTCTCCCGCATTATACAGAGCAACTGAGGCCAATCCCAGCAATAAGATTTCCAGACAGAAAAAGAAAAAAAGAGTCACGTGTGTGGGAGCTGAGCCTTTGGGGGGAAAAAGAAGGAGAAAAGATCCTCTAAAGTAAATGCTAATGCTTAATCATTGTTCCAGGGCGGGGGATTGTAGAGGGTAGCTATAATAATGACCTTTTAATAACACTTCCTGCGTGAATCTCGAGGGATTAAGCCACTCAGAGTGGAAACAACTGGCTTTTGGGTTCACACCGTTTGACTAAAGCTAATGGAGTCAGCTTACAGTCACTCAGCAACTCCCCATTGCGTTTTACCTCAGAATTTGGAGAAGCTGTTAGCACCAAATGAAGACTAGCCGTGTGTCTTAATCCAGGCACTATGCATTTACTCTACACACTACTTACTTCACTATCTGACTTTAGCGTTACACACTAAACAGAAATTGGTACTTCATGTAACTGATACGTGACAAAGTTAGCAGTTAGCTAATGTTAGCAAACTGAAGTCAGCTAGCATTTCTCAGGTCTAACACTTTCTTAATGGAAATGACATGGTACAACATTGAATCATACCTGGGTTAGCCGTTAGCTAACATTAGCACACTGAGGTCAGCTAGCATATCTAGCCCAGTTACAGTATTTTCAAATCCTTAGCCACTTATAGCAAATAGCCTAACTTAAATCATGTTGTAAAAAGTTATTAAAGAATGTATAAACCTCTGTCGTGGTCATTCTGTAGTTGGTATCATGCCCTTATTTGGAACTTGGGGAAAAATGAATGGTATTTTTGAAAATTGCCTGTGATAAACAAAAAATGTAACCCAATATGTTCCGTACATATTTTTTCTTTCGAATATCACTGCATCCTCTAAATTACAAGCTTGTTAATGCAAAATACAAATGTAACTGCTGCACATTGAACCGACAACCTCTCACCAAAATACCTCAAACAAACCTGCAAGCTTTGTCAAATGTGACAGTCAAGCTGCTTTGGACAGTAGTAGCCTACAGTTTGAGTAGGTTGTATAGCAGTGTTGAAGTTTTAGAAGTCTTACTAGCTTGCTAATAGCAAGGACATAGCAATGCTCATGTTTCTCCTTAACTACCCAAATCCAGAAACATTCAGGGGACAAAGTTTACACAGGACAATATGCATTGTGTTTGGAACATTTTTGTTTACCACAGGGCACGACAGCAGCAATTTTCCCATTTTTTCTGTAGAGAAAAATAGCATAGACCTGGAGTTGCTAATATGAGCAAGACAGAATGACGCAAACAGTATGCAGTGTTCAACACTTCCTTTTTCAGCAGTTCTATTACCATTTTAATGGTACAACACTAAATCTAGCGTCAATTTCACACTGTGAGCACGCACTGAAAATGGTTAGTGGATTTACACCTACGTATAGGGCTGTGAAAAAAGAAAGAAAATCAGCAATGTGCTCATGTTATATCAGGCACACACACATTTCTAGTGCTCTCGGCCTTCAAGGAGAGTAGTTTTAGCCCACTGACCTCCTCACACCCAGCTTTAATGGATTACCCACTTTAAGCTCTCAAAAACACATGGTACAGTTCTGCCTACTTAACACATTCATACAGAACTGCACAGATGACTAAGCAACTAGCAGTTTCCTTGAGGGTTACTAAAGCAAGTACTTAGGGGTAAAAGGGCTGTAATTGACACTGTTTATGAGATTGTGACCGCTATCTTGGACAGGGCTGAACTGTAGGAGTACACAGCCTTGTTGGAGGGCTAAGCCCGTGTGTTGGATAGTAAGAGAAACTTTCTTTGCTTTTTCAGTACAGAAGGCTTGGTGTTTCCCCTACCCAGCCTGGACTGATTAACCGGTTAAAGGAGGGGCTGAGAAATAAGGCAAAACTCTAATTAGAGATTGGGTGGAATCCTCCTCCTTTGAGGGGTGCAGCGCAGATGATCCAAAGTGGAGGCTGTAATTTCCTCCCATAAATAGTCTGGGAAAAGCAGTAGTTGGGGAATCTCTATAGATAAGTCTCACTGAAATAGCTTCCACTCATTTTTAGCCTTTCGCCACAATCTCCCTCGCAACTATATCCACAACTCATTACAGTTTTTTTAGTCTTGACATCATGACCATGTCAAGCAAACAAAGCTCTAGACTGAAATCGCTGACGAAATTCAGACTTATTCATCTCAAGAGCTACGCGATGACATTTTGCGTGCCGTCCGGAAGACAGCACATCTTCCCTGTTTCAAGCAGACGCAAATGGAGTTTGAGACAAATTGAGATGATTCATTCTCTCTTCTCTCTCTCTGCCTCCTCCTCCTCCTACCTCTGCGCTCCCTTTATCCACATCTGACACTGCCGGAGTAATGAGAAGCCTGCGGTTGTTGGTTAGTGTCACTTGCAGGTGGGTTTGCCTGGGCCTCCTGCATGAGGCCTTAGTGTTGCGGTAGAGGCCGACACCCTGCCACCCTCTGAGTCACAGTGGACAGATAAGGCCTGTAACAAGCATCTGTAACAACCTGCGGTTTGCCCACTCTTACCCTGGGGCGCAAACCGATAATGGGAGTAATAGGCGAGGCGGCTGGAATAAGACAATCTTTTTCCAAATGTCTCCAAAAAGTCATAATTCGTTGTTACTTGACCATTTTTCAACCTCTCTTTATCCCTGAGAATTAAACAAGCTGTGCCTTTAACACTGACGCATGTAAATGAACTGCTCTGATTAGCTGCCCTCATTTAAGAAGCTCTTTATAACTGAAACACTCTTAACAACTTCAGCGTGAATGAGTGGGTATAAACAGCTGTACATTGACTGGGAAGGTATATAAAGAAATGGGTTGGTTTTCATGACATCACACAAACAGTGAATTCAAAACAGGCTATTTTTGCAGCTTAGTTTCTATATATGGACTATGGATTGGAGATTGAATATTACATTTTAAAACTTTAGCAACGTTTACATACTATATTAAACTATTCCAAGAAAATGAAAGTGAAGAAAATGTATTTTCTCACGATATAGGCCCTTCAAATGTAGTCTATCAATATTATGTTTGGTGTTCAGTTCTGCACTGGAGCTAAGAAGCTGTCATACAGTATGTATTTATATATAATAATATGTCATACAGTATGTATTTATAGATAATAGTATGCCATAGAGTATCTATTATCTATAAAAATGAATAAAAGTACAGACAAAATTTAGGCTTCAAGATGATTGTTACTGCTGGTTTTAGCTATGCAAACTACTTGTTCCATTTGTAAAGAAAAGAGAATGTCATACAGTGTCAGAAACCACACAAGCAAGTCTGTTTGAGATTCTTCTTTTAGGGGAAGTCCACCCATTGTTCAAAATTTCTGCATAATTCAAAGTTTTAAAAACCATGTCAAGTTCCCCTGTAACTGTTGTTTTCTTATGTAGAAAATAGTATTATTTAATTTTAATATACAACACAGAATATTAGAAAGAATAAATAATGCCTATGGTAATGGAACCGATTGTGTGTACTTCCATTATTGTGTAAATGGGTGATTACTGTAGAGGTTATATGGGAACTTTTGAGGCCTTGGATCTGCCTAAGAGTATCTGCTGTGGACTTCATTAGGTTGCACATGTGGACGTCTTTGTTAAGTAAACGGAATGAGCTGGAGGAAGTTGTGAAGGACATGGTCATCTGGGATTCTATGCTCTCCCAACTGCTACAGTGACCCTATCTGGATTAAGCAGTTTAAGATGATGATGATGATGATGATGATGATGTCCATAAAACTTTACTCCTTATCTCAAATGTCATTAGCGTTATATCTCAAAAACTAAAGAAGCAAATATCGGACACTAAATATGTCTACAGCTACATTTGATAATAGAAAAATTGAGCAAACTTGGTTGTCCATTTAAACGTAAGGAGTGAAAGAACTATGGAAGTAGAGCAGAGAAAGGTTTAAGGTGTGTTACCTTAGCATAGTCCAGCGGGAGCTGATCCTCAGGACATTTGAAGACCCCCTCACTGCAAAGTAGAGAAGAAAAACACACATTAATGCCATCTGAACAGCACCCATTATACTATACCCATTTTTTTAGAAAGCCTGAATTCTAACCATGTAACCACCCGTTTACGAGGCTTTGTTTATTGTAACACATGGATGTGTGTGAGGAGAGAAAAAAGGTCTGCCAAATGAAGATGAGCTCAAAGCTCCCCAGCTTCTCCACCCTCGCATTCCAGCAGGAGAGCTGAGTAATCAAATGGTGGCTCCAATCCAGCCTCAGCTCACACCCAACCAAGCGTGCGCTAAGCCCGTCCACGTTATACTCACTGAGCCATTGACTTTAATGTACATGTCCTTTCCATCTCCATCTCCCTCAGGACCTTTCCACAAATCTACACTTTTACGACGGGGGTTAAAAACAGCACCCGCACCAGACTGACCCACCTTTCTCCTGTCTAAAATGCACAAAGGCACTCTTGTACTTTTTTATCTCCTCCTTACTGTACTTGTGGCTCATATTTCCTCAGTTTTTTTCAGACACCAAAGCAGTGACAACTACGTGGCATCTGAAAAGACACAGCACTGCCAAGAAGGTCCTGCAGCAGTGGGCTGGCTTCTGTGCTTTTGTGCTCTGTGCCTTGTCTCTGGCCACTGGGGAAATATTGATTACTTATTTGCCTTGTTCATGGGACAGGACAGGCTGTATTGGGGAGTGACTCTGCTTTGTTGTAGCTTTCTGTAGGCTGGAGGTATATGTACAGGCGTGTGTGTGTTGGAGAGAGAGAGAGAGAGAGAGAGAGAGGGGGAAAGAGAGAGTGAGAAGGAGAGGGAGGGACTGTGTGATTTAGGGTCATCTTAGAGGAGTGGAATAGCTCATTAGTGAGACCTTTCTGGCAGCACGGCCTGTCCACAGCACTGTTGTCACCATGAAATATTCACACTGGTAAATAATGGAAATGACTGCTGCAGATATCAGCAGTGGGAGAGGTGACTGTGTGTAAGGTTTAAGAATAGGCTTTCAAAATTCATATTACACATAGCTGATTACACACATATAATGCATATGGTACACATGCATTAGGGCCTGACTGATACAAAAGTATTGTAACTGATACTGATACTAAGGAGCAAAAATTTCCTGAATTACTTATTATATCGACTGATATAATTTCATATGGTCAAAAATTAAACCGTGCCCAAAAGTTTTATCAAACCATAAGTCTCGCCACTGATACATTCAGAGATTTTGGCTTGTTTAAATCTGGCAGCAGAGCAGTTACAGGGCTTGTATGTCCATGTTGCCCATTATAAAATATTTAAGCATGTGGAACTAGAGCTTTCTGTGTGCTACTGAGTTTTCTATCACTATATAAAAGATACACTAGGCTAGATTTATTATTTATATGTAAACATCTAAAAATATAGAAATAAAAATCCACTATTATCAAGAGAGACAATCACATTTCATAGGAAACCAAATGCAGTGTTAAAAGTTTTTCTCCATCCAAAAACATTTGCGTTAACTACCTAAAGTGAGAGTTGAACCCCAGTCACCAGAATACATGACTGTAAGGTCACCAACTACAATGCAACTGCTGTAAACCCTTGAGTTATTTAAAAGGTCCAAGCATAAATCCCTGTATTTTACAAGAACAAAATCCTGATTTAGCAAGTTAAAGCACCTCTTACAACCAACATTACATTTGGCTGTTGTTCAAAAATTACCACATTAAGGAATGTGACACTTTCTTAAGGAGATTATCAATATTTTATTGCTGGGAGTTCCAGCTCTGTTTCTCTGAAATGGACTTTGAGTTAATTATAATCTAAGTTAATTATACACATTGACCAAGAGGGCACTTGTGCAGTTTGAGAAGAGTAAGTATGGGAAGATTAAAGGGCAGAAACACACGCTTATTTTGCGATGGCCTTAAAGACTTTGGGTTGTCAACTTAAACTCAAAGTCTCATTACCAGCCAAACGATATATATCAGTCCGGCCGTAGTATTTACAAGCACGCGTCCTGACACTGTATACAAACATGTGAAGCACACTGTGTATACAGTACAGTCCCTCCGATGAAAACCCTAACAAAGAGCCCATCTGTGCAATTGATCCCCTCAGCTGAGTTAATAAGCAGCAGCCACTGCCCAACACAGGGGTTTCCCAAAGGCCAACAAGCAAGCCTCATATATGGGAAGAGCAGGCAGAGAAATAGCCCTTATTAGCAATAAATAGCATGAAGCAGCAATATTAATTCAGTACAATGAAAAGAGGCAATCACTGCATTGTTAGCATGTCTGAAAAGACTAAAAGTGACAGTCAATGCAGTGTCTCAATTAGCTGCTGTTAAGCTGAAGGCTTACAAGGAGCTCCACAAGAAGCCTCTGATGAACAGACATTTGCTTGAATTCTGTAAACAGACAGGAAGTCAACAGTTTGAGCTGTGAGGAGTGAGAAAAAGCCAATAATGTCCCCATTGAGTCCCAAGGGCCCTAATCTGGAGGGGTTGAAAAGTCACCTGACAAGGGCCAACACAGACCCTCAGTGTGACAGGGGCAGTGGCTGGCCTCAGCTGCATGAGGCCTGATGACCGAGGCTTAATGCACAGCCTCGTTTCGCTCCATTAGGGTCAGTGTGTCAGCAGGGCACTGGGTGAGCAATTAATACCCACAATGGGACCCAAAAAAGAACCAATCAATTATTCGACAGAGGCTGGCTCGACAGAATTACAGCCACGCTGCTGAATAAAGGCCCATCAGAGCCCTTCCATTCACACTGATCCTACAGAGATGAGACTGTGATTTACATCCAGGTCTGAGGCCTCTGCTGAGACGCATTAGGGGCGTAAACATGCATCTATGGATTGTGATGCATCTGTATGATGGTGGCAATCCAACTTCATCGATCTTAGAACTTCAGGATCAAATTTAACAGATAGTTTGGGTTCTAAATTTCTGATTGGCCAAGCCACATTCATAGCACTCAATATAGCTCCATATGTCCACACACAGTTTCATGCTGTATTAAAGTGCCAAGTTATAAAAACATGGTATTATTTATAGAACAATCTTTGACCGTTATGGCACTTGGCAACTGTCTACTGTTAACAAAGTACTTTGCTTGGCAGAAGAACTATTTTCTGCAATTATTATTAATAATAAACATAATAATTTACTGAACAGAGGTAGTTTATCATACTGCATTTTGCATTAAAAGCAATCAAAGCAAATGCAATGCACTGCTTTAAAGTTCACTAAAGTAATTAAATACAGTATGCACTCACTTTGGCGCAACAATAAATTCTTAGTTTTTAAACATAAACTTCAAAAAAGCTTGGTGTGCTGTACTCTAATGGGGTTAGACATGATCTCCTAATGAGAATGTCTGGGGACAACCATAAGAAATGTTGGGCTAAATGTGGGTGTGAAGATATATTTATTAGTGTGGGAACCAACTGGGAGGGAAAAAATTTCTAAACCAATCCAATGCTTTGTGAAGGCAGAGCTCAAAGTAGCACAACAAGCCGGTCGTTAGCTCATGGATGTAATGTAAGTGAACATGGCAGAAAAACTCCAATCAAGCATGTAAGCGGGAAACACATTGCAGGCGGTAAAAAATAAACATTGCCAAATAAACAGTTCCATTAGCCAATGATTTGTGTTTGTTTGGCTGTGTTGCTGATTAAACCTGAATGTAAAAGGGGCCATATTCTCAATTTTTCTTGCATTATAACAGGCCAAAAACAGTCATAATTAATTTTTACACAACTATTTTCCAACCTGTCGTTACGCCTTAGGAATTATATATGTTAATGAGATCTGTTCTAATTGGCTGCCTTGTACTGTAATGGAACAGAATCATTGTAAGGTCATGGATTTACACCCATAGCACTCATACAGAAAGAGGGAGAATTAGTCATGGAGTGGGGGGTTAAATGAGTGCCTCTTCTGCTTAGAGTCGGGGCAGAAATGAGCTCGAGGAGGCCGGCCTTGCGCTGTCAGGCCAATTTCTTCCAGGCAGGATGAGAGAAGACCTGCAGCTACACATTCAGCTGCTCGCGACCCTGGCACTAACGCCAGCTGACTGCACAGCACCAGCCCAGCCTGGAGACTCACTGCTTTGTGACCACAAATTAAGATTAGGGGAAGAAGGGACAAAGAAAAACAAACAGCTACAGAACTCCAGCACAAAAGAAGAGTTGAAGCCCCCCCATGCGCCCTCAGCGCTTTGCATGATTTCGAAAGGTTAAGCGCACATTTCTGGTTGCAAAGTATAGAAATCAGTTTTCCTGACACTATACAACATACTGTTGTCTATAAAAAAGACAAAATGATACGATGCTTAGCAAAACAGCAGTAATGGCTTTACTGAAGCATAGCTTTGTCCATTTTTATAGATAACAGTATACCAAATAGTCTCAGAAACCACACAAGCAAGACTATTTTACACTACCTAACAAGTCCATGTGGTTTGAGGCAAATGGCTAATTAGCTGAAGGGAACCCATAGGGCCTTCTAGGCCTTCAGAGAAGGTCTTATAATCTCTGCGAAGTTAAAAAGTACATGCCTATATTTTTTTGTTTGACTGGGGATGTTCAAACTTATTGCACACAACTGTATATGTAAACGAGGAAATTTTGTTTTTCCATAATATGCGCCCTTTAAAACCACTATTGGCAGAGCTTTGAGAGCTGAAAGCAAATTTCAGGGTGACTTGCTTCCATGAAAAGGACCACAGTACTTTTGTTACTTTTGTCAGAGAGCATTTTTAAAAACAAAACACATACAATAACTTAGAGCCAAAACTTGTGAGTGACAAACAGACTAATCGGATACACTCTCAAGGGGGCAACTACGTCATGGCATAGTGTGTTTTGTGCGGCAGCGGCATTAAAATTTCAGAGGCCCCGCCGGTCTCCTTTAACATGCAGGCAGGCATGACAGCTGCTCTGGTGAGGAGATGACCAGCAGAGAGCTGGACCCATGTGCAGGAGCAGCAGGACAGAGGGGGACCCCCA